TAGGCAAACTTTTAATCATTATGAAATAATCTCTTAGTTTTATAGATGGATAAATATAACGAGAGACCTTCATTTAATTTTAAAATAATGAAAAATTATTCTTAAATGAGATATGAAACTGATACTGCATCTAGAACTTTTCTTTCAAGATAGACTTGTAGCTCTACTGATAGTATTTTTTTTGGCATCCAAATATTATTTCATAACAGAAGGTATTATTTTACAACATTGCTTCTCCTTCCCCCCTCCACTGGCCCCCAACTATGTCAACTCTGAAGGGCTGTCCTTTGTCATAATGAATCCCTGTCTCCTTAATCTAGAGAAAGTTCTTTAAGTTGTCAATATTTGAGGAGGGTATAAGTGTATCATTACCAGCCCTGGCAGGTCTACAGTCAGAATTAGGCACTGTTTTCGGGCGCTGCAGCACTGACTGCCAAGGCTGCAGATCAGGCCTGGAGAGAGAGGCAGGGTCTGATCTGAAGCCTCTGTGGCAGCTGTTGATCAGCTCTTGCCTCTCTTTCCTTCTGGGCCTCATCAGCAGCCATGGGGGCTGCTGATCAGCCCCGCCTCTTTGATTAGGCCTGGAGATAGGCTCAGAGACACTGACTGGCACAAAAACTGACCACTCAAAATCAAATCTGGGCGAACTGTGAGGAGCCTATGGCTGCCTAGGCAGCTTTTGATGCTGACTGGCATAGAAACTGACCAATCAGAACCTAATCTGGGTGAACTGCGAAGGCCGAACCTAAGGTGGGGGCTGAGGAGGGGTTTTAAGGGCAACAGCTGTTTGGTGTAAGGTGTAAAAAAGCGGTTCAATTTTTTAATGACCGCTTTGGCAGTATAGTGCATATGGCTGGCTATCAGTGCAAATATAGGGATTGTGTATTTTTGTCTGCCAAGAGCATCTCCTCCTGCTGAAAAGGCTCTCCCCCACCCCCCCAATTTAAGCAGTCCTAGCCTATATAATCCTATCTAATAAAAGAGAAACATGGTAATTAGCGTACGACCGCTACCCTTCCCATTGGCTAATCAGGGCAATATGCAAATTAACTGCCAGCCAAGATGGCGGCCAGCAGCCAGGCAGCTTGAAACTAACATGAGACTTGCTTGCTTCAGTGATGGAGGACTCCAACTTTCCCCGCCTGCCGCTGCAGGCCTCAGAACTGCAACTCTAAGCAACTATGTTACAAATATAGAAGCTAAACAAAACCCCAGAAACCTGCTTTAGTCCATCAGGCTTCAGCCAGCAAGATTGCAACATTGTTTCAAATACAGAAGGTAAACAAAGGCCAGAAACCTGCTTTCAGCAGCGGAGGCCTAAGAGCTGGAGCCTTAAAGCTAAAGCTGGCCTAGAATAAAAAAAAAAAAAGGAAAAAAAGAGCAGTTGGGAGCTTCAGTCATCTGCCAGCCTGAAAACAGCCCTCAGCCCCGCACCCAGGCTGGCCAGGCACCCCAGTGGGGACCCCTACCCTGATCCAGGACACCCTTCAGGGCAAACCAGCCGGCCCCCACCCGTGCACCAGGCCTCTATATAGTAAAAGGGTAATATGCCTCCCAGCACTGGGATCAGCGTGACAGGGGGCAGCGCCCAAACCCCCTGATCACTCTGCGGCTCTGTGTGTGACAGGGTACGGAGCCCCAACCCCCCTGATGGGCCCTGCTCTGTGCGTGACAGGGTACGGAGCCCCAACCAACCTGATGGGCCCTGCTCTGTGAGTGACAGGGGCAGCGCCCCAACCCCGATTGGCCCTGCTCTGTGGGTGACGGGGTGGTGCTGCAACCTTCCCATCGACCCTGCCTTGAGTGTGACAGGAGGCGGTGCCCCAATCCCCCAATCAGCCCTACCCTGAGCGTGACTGAGGGTGGCATCGCAGCCTCCCAATCCTCCCTGCTCTGTGCATGACAGGGGCGGCCCCCAACTCCCCAATCAGCCCTGCTCTGAGCCCGACCAGGGGCTGCACCTAGGGATTGGGCCTGCCCTCTGCCACCTGGGAGCAGGCCTAAGCCGGCAGGTTGTTATCTCCCAAGGGGTCCTAGACTGCGAGAGGGCACAGGCCAGGCTGAGGGACCCCCCTTCCCCCCAAGTGCACAAATTTTTGTGCACCGGGCCTCTAGTCTATACTAATAAAAGGGTAATATGCTAATTAGACCGGGTCAATCAACCATCTTCTGGATGTCCGACTTCCTTCCGAACAAAGCCATGGTGGTGGGGGCCGAGGCAGAGGATTAGGGGTGATCAGGCTGGCAGGGGAGGGCAGTTAGGGGTGATCAGACAGGCAGAGGCAGTTAGGGGCAATCAGGCAGGCAGGCAGAGACAGGGGCAATCACTCAGGCAGGCAGGTGAGTGGTTAGGAGCCAGCGGTCCCAGATTGCAAGAGGGATGTCTGACTGCTGGTTCAATTGGACATTCCCCAAGGGGTGCCCGATTGGAGAGGGTGCACGTTGGGTTGAGGGGAATGCCCCGCCCCCCCCCCCCTGCATGAATTTTGTGCACTGGGACACTAGTTCCTATATAAAACTCAAGGTTGACTTACTGTTTTTGATAATATATTTTTAAAACCAACTGATTTAAAGAGTACCTTTAAATGAAAGGCTACTTTCACTAACTGTATCCCTTTGAACACAATATATTATGTTTCATAAAATATAAAGGAACTCACTTTTGAAGTCTTCTTTACCCCACACCTGGACCTATACTAGACTTATCTAGTATTGTATTCTTAGAAAATGTTTTCTTTTTGTTTCAATATTATCAAAGGGATTTGGGGGAAATGGTTCTCTGTACTTTCGTAGGGTTTGATGGCCAGCGGATAGCTTGAGGAAAATTATTTATACCATCTCGGTGAATTTGTAAGTCATATACAGATAAAATGCTTTCTAATACTTAAAACTCTTCCCTAAATTTTCTACTTTTGTGCATAACCTCCCATGTAGTTTTCAGTCCTGTTCTCCTGGGATTTATACATTGGGACCTTACTGTGTCTATTATTTTAAGAGCACCACTCAGAGTGAAACCTGCTGCTTTCTTGTGAAGCTTTCATTGCCCAGCAGGTGAGGGTAGCATTATCTTTTCATCCCCCCGTCAGTTGTGGTAGCAGCAAGATCGACAGGAGTGTCACTGCTACTCCTAACACCACTGCCACCTCCGCAGCCACACAGAATCAGGGGGAGAAATTCCCCACAGGAATAAGAAAAAGTGTAAACTGGGCTGGGGAGTAGAAGAACCATAGCTACTATAGTACTCCCCAATATATGATCTTCACACCACCATAGATTTCTTCATAATTCTAATTACAGAGCAACTGCTGTGTAAGCCTTGCTTCCCACTTTCATCTCCACAGCCTGCCTGATCCTGTGATCAGTTTTTGCCTTCCCAAACATTTTTATTTTATAAGATTTCTCAAGCACCAGATACAGATTTAAAATATACAAACCCTAAACACCCAAGTTGAAGATGAACATGCCTTAGTACTTCCAGGCGGTCTTTCCTCCAACATTCCCTGTGGCTCAGTTACAGTGGTTTTTACTGGAAGGTAAAACCAAAGCTGCCGCTAGGATTGAGGCTCCAGAGGACATTCTCACATTCCTAAGGTGATGACTGTCTATACTCCAGGAAGGATTTCTTTCTTAAAAGTGAGTTTTATTAAATATTTACATGCTTTTAACATTTTAATTTTTAGTTGCTTGTAGTAATTTTCTTGTAAGTGCCCTCTGAGGAAGTTCTGAATTATTTTTTTCCATTTTATAGATGTTTGAATTGAGGTATAGATACTGACTTATATAGGATCATCAGCAAGTTATAAAGGTGATATTGATGAAAAAATGTTGAAATCTGTTCTGTTAGGTTTAAAATTATTTTAAATTATAAATATGCATATATTTGTAGAATAATAACAACTATTAGCATTGTAACTGTTAGAATGAAAAGCAAATATAATAAAAGTAGGTAAATGGGAAGACAAAAGTTGAATTTCAGATTTGATTTTGAGTCTGTGAGGTAGCATATGGCCAAAATGTCTCTGAGACATACACTAGGTATTGAAGACATAGAAAACAGAAGATGTTATTTGTGCCCTGCTGTAGTTATTTTCCACTGACAAGTAACACTGAGCAGCACTATGGATGAAAGACATGGAAATACAGTACTTGGCAATAGTATATCTTGTTCTTTTGTCTGCTACTGAGTAGCAATTGAAATGCAGTAATTATTGATGCTTCCATTATAAATGCTCACATATGCTTTCCATTGTTCTTATTTTTACCTTCTACTTATTTATTTTTCTTCTTTCTCTTCTTTTCTACCCTTTCACTTACCTTATTCACTTGCATTTGTAAGAATGAATTTACAGATTTGAAATCTTAAAGAAAAGTTTCCTTCAACTGTGGTGTGTAATACTCAGAAGTATACATTCTATGGCAAATAGCAATCCAAATGAACTTGTCTTGTTGGTTGTTCTGCCACTACCTCCTCATCTTATTTCCTCTTCCTCTGTTGTCATCATTGTTGTAGTTGTTGTCATCATCATCATGTTGATCTTAGGGAAACTTTCCAGCTACTTAAGTGGAATTCACTGTCTAAAAATGTGTCTATGTAATTTTCCTCCTGTTTTTCCCCTACTATTTTCTTTTTTTTTCACGACTACAGTGGTATCTGAAATCTTCTGTGTGAGACTGGTTCTTTGTAGTTTGTATCTCCCTCAGTTAATATTTGGTTTGCCATCAACTTCCTTTGTATTTCTTATTTTCCTTCATCTTATGAATTTCTATTTTCTTTTTATTTTTCCCCAACCAAGACATTTATTCAGGGAACAGGAAAGTAAAATGCTATAGAGTCTATATGCATTTTGTTATTTGTCATCTTTAATGTTAGGAAATTTACATTTTATTTAATTGGAAGACATGGTAGAGGGACAATGGATAAATACCTTAATATCTAGCATCACTCTGTATGTATATTGGATATTTACTATTGCTGAAGGCTTCTTTTTTAATCTCCCCAGGAAAGGAAGGAGAGGGTATCCAAACTTGAGTCTTTTCGTCACTCAATTGCTGGACTAATTAGGGGTCCAAAATCTGCATTTGGCTCTTCAACAGTAAGTACGATGAACTCTGTGTGCTACTGAAAATAGTCATTGTCCAGCTCTTTCTGATATACCAATGAATATCATATGTATATATTTCCTTACAAATGGAAAAGTAAGTACCTATTTTAACTTTTTGTATGTATTTGAGTTTGTGCATGCATGTATATAGTAAAACCCTATGTCACATTGATGTAGGGAGAAAAGAAATAAACTTGTATTATAGACTTCCTGTACTACAAATAAATATTACAGGAAGCATTTTATGAACTTTTGTACTTGGTTAGAAGAATAGTATAAACAGATCTCTTTTCCAGTGAAACATTTTTATAAACAGATTATTACATATGCATTTTTACATGTATCATTTTTTATGTCTGTTCATAATTTTTAGAACATTAATTATAAAATTGAAATCTGTTTGAAATTTGGGTGTGGCATATTACAAAATGCATAGAGTATTAGTTAGCTTTAGTAATAGTGGCTATAGCCTAACAAGATAAAAAATATTCTTATCCCCTTTATATAATAAAACTCCAAAGTATATTTTTCACTTCATTACCTGTAAAACTTAATTTTTCTAGCCATGCTTTATTGACAGTAGAACTTTACAATTGTATCTTATTGAATGCTGGCCAACACAACAATATTCAATGTAAGTAATTACATGCTTTCCCCATCCCTCTAAGTTTCTACCTAATAATACCTTAATATTTTTTCTTACCTTTTATAATTTCCTTTTTAAGACAATGTGACTTAGTCTTATTTAGAAAAAGAAAGTATTTCCTAAACATAGATTACTTAAATTTCCATTCATATTTTGGATTTGTTTGCTATAATTCGTTTTGAATATGTAAAACATGTTCCCATATGTATTTACCCGAAACAATAATCTTTTATATGAAAAGTAAGTCAGTTAGGTATTTTAACAAAAAAGGATAAAATTATATTTTTATATAAAAGAGATTTTCTACTTATATTTCAGCCTTTGATGTTGTCATTGTACTTCTTATACACAGTAGTTCTGTGGGAATAGGGAGGGAGCTGTGAACTGTTGCAGACCATCTCATATGGCATCAAATAGCAAATGAAAAGAAAAATAATTATAAGTAAAAGCAACATGATAGAGTAAGTCTCTCTCAAGGCCTATTTCCTACCCTTATTTTCTTAAGCAATTGTTTGACAGTTTTATAGACAAGTAGTAGTTCCTAGGACTTGATTTGTGATTTGACATCAAAATAAGTGTAGGAGATTTGATTAAGAATTTATGATAAGTTCCAAAGATCGTTTTGCAAAATTTTTATTTGAGAAAAAAAGTTACTGAGATGAAATATTTAAAAAGTTTAAAGAAGAAAAAAATAGATTTTTGAAAAGAAATGTTCCAATAACTGTTAGCTTTTCATAAAATTATTTAACAAGTCCATGAACTAAATGGCATAGTTAAGTTGTCATTAACTCACCTTTATTTCACTTAGGTCAAAGGCCTTTTAGCTGAAGCAACCTCCCCACCTTTAATCATGTAAATCCTTATTGATAAGAATAAGTCTTTGTGTCACTGGAACCTCCCTGCCTAAGGGCTATACTATGGGTGGATCCCGAACCAAATAACAGCCTGGTGAGGCCTGAGCACCAGTGGAAGCCTTTCTTCTTGAGTTGGACTTACCCGCCTGGTCCCCATTATTTCCAAATTATCTCTTGTCTCTTCTCTTTCATTTGTGTGCGGCTCCTCTTTCAGATCCTGAACCCTGAACCACATGGGACGTGGAGGGAAACATTTACCACAAAACAACAGAGAAATTTTTTATTTTTTTGCATCATACTGTTGCTATACCCGTGCTGAATTCTTCTGTACAATCAGGCATGTTTAGGATGACTGAATAATCTGCTCAGACTTGCAACTTTTGAATCACTAGCATTATCACACGTAATTTTGAAGACAGGCTTATCAGGATTTATTTTCTATAAAAAACTATATAAGGGAGCAAATATTTTATATTTTTGCTCAAATGATTAAGACACGTGACCCAGGTCATGTTAAACTGATACTGAGCGTGTCTGATGTGACTCAGTGGTTGAGCGTTGACCTAGGAACTAGGAGGGCATGTTCGATTCCTGCTCAGGGGATATACCTGGGTGGCAGGCTCCATCCCCAGGAGGGACGTGCAGGAGGCTGCCGATGGATGTTGTTTCTATCTCTCTATCCCTCTCCCTTCCTCTCTCTCTAAAAAAAAAATTTTTTTTAAAAAAGGCTTCCCCTCCACTATATCTCTGGCAAAAAACTTAGGTAACCTATCAAGAGGGAAAAATTGTTTTTCCACTGAGGCTTAGAAAGTTGTGATATTTGAGGTAATGAGTAATTATGACAGCTCTTAGGATGTTGTTGCTGATACATCCTACATCATATATTTTATCGAGCCTGCAAAATTACATTGGAATTTTATTAAAGTCATATTAATAAAAATGTTCCTTTTGATGCTTCAGAGAAGTCCCCGAAATATCTGATAGACCCAGACAGGGGACATGTCTGGCCTTTCCCTGCATCCACAAATGCGCAGTAATTTCAGCCTACATTTCTTAATGGTATTGTAGGGGCTGGGAAGTAACAGGTCCCTGAGCTTCCCTTCCTACCCAGAAGAAGCTAATAAACCCAGAGAACCAGCAATGAAATAGCAATACAAGTTCCTTCCTATTCATTCGTCTTTAAAAACAAACAAACTTCAGCAGTGGTCTTTGAGGATGATTTTTTCCCCAAATATATTTCTTACTTCATAACCTTTAATGAGTTTCTCAGAGTATTAGCTGAGCTTTTGTATTTCAAATGCCCATCTTACTTAATAAATAATCTGGGTATTGCATTCTCCCAATTCTAAATAAATCAAATTTAGGAAGATAGGTTGAGTAGGACAAGAAATCAAGCACATGACATCCTTGTTTGTGATGTTTTTCTGTTATGTGGACCTTTTTCAGAGATAATGATGAAAGCAAGGTCTTTGTAAAGAACTGATACTAAATTTATTTTATTGATTTTTTTCAGAGGTTAAAAAAAAAAACACCTTTAAAAATCTCAAGTAGACTTCCAAGAAGAGTACACATTTGAAACACTTTTACCATAGGCAAGACTTGGAAATATTTCAATTATAGTAAACATTTTGTATTTGCTATGAGATGCACTGTGATAAAATCTTGGAAAAGAAATATTTGGTCTTAGCATTTGGCCTCCTAAAATAACGGATAATTTGCTTTTCCTGCCATGCTCATGGCTTCTATTCTTCCCTTGTTTTCTCCACATTTGTAATTGCATGTTGGTGGTTGGCAGTGATGTGTCTCCTAAAGTTTTATCTACCGTCGCTGTACAGAATCAGGACCATCCACCCATGTGGCATAGGTAACGGTTAGGAGGTGAGGGGAATGCGGATAAGAATGGGAAGGTACAGAGGCAGTACGGCATTATATGAAGCTGTAGGTAGCACTCCACATATGACATGGACATCCCACAGCCTGTGTAATTGAGAGCTAATTCCATAAACAGAAATAACTCAATTTAAATAAAAATGTTTTGTGATAAATTTCCCCGATAATCCCCCTTTTTCATAATTCTCTGGTTGATAAATTTTAAATATATGGATTTGTTTTATGATACATTGAAGACTATATTATTAACTCCAAATGCTGATGTTGTACGTAGCTATGTATGCTAGGCAGAAAAAACAAATAACCTTAAAATATGAAGGCCATGCTTTTGTGCTAAATTTCAATAGCAGTATCCCATGAGATATTTCTTTAAAAATTATGAAAAATTTTTCATTGTATAACTTTTCATTGGTCAATTAAAGGTAGGAACACATGTAAGAAGTACTTGTAATTGATTTACATTTTTACTGGAAAAAATAGCTATTTTTTCTAATTTGGTGTTCTTTTTCCCCCCCCATATTTGCTTAGTTTGAATCGATGCCCACAATTGAGAAGCCCCTGACAGAACAGGATTGGTACCATGGTGCAATTCCCAGAATAGAAGCACAAGATCTGTTAAAACAACAAGGAGACTTCTTGGTGCGAGAAAGCCATGGGAAACCTGGTGAATATGTCCTTTCTGTATATTCTGATGGACAAAGGAGACACTTTATCATACAATATGTTGATGTACGTTTCTAATTTAGTTTATATGTATATTCTGATGTAGTCCATGGTGGTAATAAAATGATGAATAGTTTTTGATAAATGCCTGTAACAGAGTTTAGCACTTAATTTGTTTTTGCTGAATTCCTTAAAGATAGTGCTCCAAAACTCACTAAAATGTTAATCTTATTAAGGAAATATGTACTTTAAAATATTATAAATTAAAAATAGTTGTTAAAAATTTGAATTAAATTTAAATGCATAAATATTTAAAATACTTGAGTTAAATTTGAACATTAAAAACATTTTAAGTTAAAAGTAGAAATAATGTGATTATAAAAAATTTTTTTTCTTAGAGATTTTAAATTATAAGTTTTATGCCCCTAAAACAAGCCTTTGCAATTTTTTTCAAAAGTGGTATTATGAGAAATTTTTAAAGTAGTATTGTATTAAATAATGATAATAAAATTCCTTAATTAGTGGAATAATAGTAGTTGAACAGATTTTCTGATTCATTTAGGATTAGTTTTTCCCCTTTATGTATAAGCTATTGCTTGTTGGCATTAATAAACCATAAATAAAGTTTGATGAAAATTAAAAAGATGATCTATTAACATTACTTCCTCTAATACTTATTATTAAATTGCATTTAGACATTGCTAAACTATGTTTTATACATTCTTTATTAAGCTGTAAGCAGATGAAGGGTAATCTCAAAATTTTGTTTAACTTTATCCACTGAGAAATTTTAATGTTTTTTGTATATGAAGAATTGTTGCCTCTGTTTGTCATTTCTCACTCTATTATTTCAAATGGCACATGTTTTCAAGCTGCTAGTCTATAGAATTTCAGTGTTCGTCCAGTCACTAGAGCAGTGATGGCGAACCTATGACACACGTGCATGTCAGAGGTGACATGCGAACTCATTTTTTTGGTTGATTTTTCTTTGTTAAATGGCATTTAAATATATAAAATAAATATCAAAAATATAAATCTTTGTTTTACTATGGTTGCAAATATCAAAAAATTTCTCTATGTGACACGGCACCAGAGTTAAGTTAGAGTTTTTCAAAACGCTGACATGCCGAGCTCAAAAGGTTCGCCATCACTGCACTAGAGAGATACTAATTACTTCGCAATAGATTGAGCCTTTATCATTGGATGAATCTCAGACGGGTTCTTAAAATAGATACATTGAGATATTCATACAGGGTGTCCCAAAAAAACGTATACACATTTTAACAGCCTATAGCTCAATTTGAAAATGAATTGTATTTTAATAAGTACTGCCTTTATAGTTATTCGAAGTGTGTGTACACATTTTTGTTTGTATTATAATTTTCACCTTATTGTTAATTTTGCCTAGTATTCACACTTCAACTTGATAATCCTATTTGCTTACTCTCATACATCTGACTTTCTGCTTCTAGTAGTATTTTCATGTCAAACTCTTTTATAATTTGTATATGCCTTTGTAATGGGTGTAAATAAGCTTTTCTATTACAACCTGTGACTATGCTGGCAATATTTATAAAGTGGTACAAGAATTGTAGAGGAAAAATCATAGGTAAAGTATAAACTAACTATAATTTATATAAATGTTTCCTTCTGTAGTCTAAGTTTTAAAACATTATTTTTATATAGGTTATACATTAAATAAGACAAATATTTTTCTTATGACCACTTCTAGTTTAAATGTAACTGTAGGAATTTAAATTAGTATTAGAAACAAAAAAGGTCTATTTGCAAATTATAACTTGTCTTTAATGCCATTTTTTTAAGTGATTAAAGTGAACTGCATAATAGATTCTAAAAATAAGACATTGCTATAAGTTCACATTTGTAAATTTTATTTGGTTTTCTTTTGTCGTTGACATTTTCAGAGATCTCTGTTAAAGATGAAAGTGCTTTTATTTCTGTAAATGCCTCAGGGTTTTTTTCCCCACTGTTTAATTTTATTTAGTTCCTAATCATGAAATAATAATTGAGCTCTCAAATCAGTTGAAAATAGGAGTTTGAAGGTGATGAAGACTGTGGAGTTTTAAATTCTTTTTCATATGCATAGGTAAATCTTCTGTGAGCTAAAATGATCCCATTTCCTTCCTCATATCCCTGTTGAATAAAGCTGGGGGTACATTCCCAGATATTTAACAATTGCCTATCATATTCTAATCAAGGAGTTTATAATCTAGTAATCCTATCTAATAAAAGAGAAACATGGTAAGTAGCGTAAGACCGCTACCCTTCCCATTGGCTAATCAGGGCGATATGCAAATTAACTGCCAGCCAAGATGGCGGCCGGCAGCCAGGCAGCTTGAAACTAACATGAGGCTTGCTTGCTTAAGTGACGGAGGACTCCAACGTTCCCTGCCTGCCACTGCCAGCCTCTGAGCTGCAACTCTAAGCAACTATGTTACAAATATAGAAGCTAAACCGGGGGTGGGCAAACTTTTTGACTCGAGGGCCACAATGGGTTCTTAAACTGGACCGGAGGGCCAGAACAAAAGCATGGATGGAGTGTTTGTGTGAACTAATACATGTTAACACTGCTGCTGGTGAAGGAGCGGAAGGGAGAGCAAGAGAACCCTCCGCTCTTTCAGCTCCGAGGGCCGGATAGAGCAGCCGAACGGGCCGGATCCGGCCCGTGGGCTGTAGTTTGCCCACGGCTGAGCTAAACAAAACCCCAGAAACCTGCTTTAGTCACCGGGCTTCAGCCAGCAGGATCGCAACATTGTTTCAAATACAGAAGGTAAACAAAGGCCAGAAACCTGCTTTCAGCAGCAGAGGCCTAAGAGCTGGAGCCTCAGAGCTAAAGCTGGCCCAGAATAAAAAAGAAAAAGAAAAAAAGGAGCGGTTGGGAGCTTCAGTCACCCGCCAGCCTGAAAACAGCCCTCAGCCCCTCACCCAGACTGGCCAGGCACCCCAGTGGGGACCCCCACCCTGATCCAGGACACCCTTCAGGACAAACCAGCCGGCCCTACCCATGCACCAGGCCTCCATATAGTAAAAGGGTAATATGCCTCCCAGCACCAGGATCAGCATGACAGGGGGCAGCGCCCAAACCCCCTGATTGCCCTGCGGCTCTGTGTATGACAGGGGGCGGGGCCACAACCTCCCTATCTGCCCTGCTCTGTTCGTGACAGGGGAAGGTGCCCCAACCCCCTGATCAGCCCAGCTCTGTGCCTGATAGGGGGAGCTCCCCAACCCCCTGATTGCCCTGCAGCTCTGTGTGTGACAGGCTGTGGTGCCCCAACCCCCTGATCAGCCCTGCTCTGTGTGTGACAGGGTGCGGCGCCCCAACCCCCCCCCCCCCCCACGGGCCCTGCTCTGTGTGTGACGGGGTAGAGCCATAACCTCCCCATCGGCCCTGCCCTGAGTGTGAGAGTGGCGGCGCCCCAACCCCCTGATCCGCCTTGCTCTGTGTGTGACAGGGGGCCGTGCCTTAACTCCCCTATCAGCCCTCCTCTGTGAGTGACGGGGGAGCTCCCCAACCCCTGATCAGCCCTGCTCTGTGCATGACAGGGGGGAGCTCCCCAACCTCTTGATAGACCCTGCTCTGTGCGTGACGGGGTACAGAGCCCCAACCCCCCTGATGGGCCCTGTTCTGTGAGTGACAGGGGGCAGCGCCCCAACCCCGATTGGCCCTGCTCTGTGTGTGACAGGGGGTGGCGCCACAACCTGCCCATCAACCCTGCCTTGAGTGTGACAGGGGCCGGTGCCCCAACCCCCCAATCAGCCCTACCCTGAGCGTGACTGAGGGTGGCATCGCAACCTCCCGATCCGCCCTGCTCTGTGCATGACAGGGGCGGCTCCCCAACTCCCCAGTCAGGCCTGCTCTGAGCCTGACCAGGGGCTGCACCTAGGGATTGGGCCTGCCCTCTGCCACCTGGGAGCAGGCCTAAGCCAGCAGGTCGTTATCTCCCGAGGGGTCCCAGACTGCTAGAGGACCCTCCCCTTCCCCCCGGTGCACAAAAATTTGTGCACTCGGGCCTCTAGTAAATTATAAAAGCTGTAAATAAATGAGGGGATAGGTGTCCTAATAGAGGAAGACATAAAAATTATGAGATTTTAGAGAATGTAAAAATATCAAATAGTGGATTGGTGAAAAAAGCAGACTTAGAAGACTTGGGTTCCCATTCCTGCTTTTCACTTTACAAGCTCTATCTTTGGTAAATAATGGGGTTAATAGCTTATACAGTGATTATGAGAATCAAATTAGTGAATATATACTTTGTAATGTGTGGAGTGCTATGCAAATATTAGGTAATTTTTCTAATGTTTGATGACTCTAGTTGAGAAAAAAAATACCAATATTACTTTGTAAGAAATATAATGTAATTGGAAATGTTAATTAATTTTTTTTTGTTTCTATGAGATTTATTTGTGAAATTTAAATAGTAAGAAAGTGTTTTAGAATTTATATAGGTACTCACTTTGTGGTGATTTAGAATCAAACCTGCAATATTTCTGAGGCATGCCTATATTTAGATTTGAGGTCTTCACTGATCACAAATAATATTATTTTTAGTAATATTGCCTTTGTCAATCAAAGTCTAGGATAGAAATTATTTTAAAGCTTTATTTTTGAATGCATGTCACAGTTACTTCTCAACATGGTGTGAAACTGCCATTATGACTGAATAAGATGGACATGTATACTTTCCATTTTTACATTTTCACTCTGCTAGCACAGATTATCTATTGTTTTAGCTAGTTCAAGCAAGAAGAACTGTACCTTGTAGTGTAACCAAACATATTAATTTCACAAAGCCCAACCCTATTAATTTCACAAAGCCAGATGTATAAACATATCTAAGAGTATTTGAATTTAAGTTTAATTCGTGTTACTGATCTATTCCATAGTTACTAGCCTATTTGTGGTGCTTGATGTAAGATGATATTTAGAGTTTTTACCTAAAACTGTTTATTTGTGGTCATAAATGTTGATAGATTTTCATAGTGATTCAAAAGGCTTTGTTCTATTTGATAAGTAAATATATATTTATCAAATCTTTGCTTTTGTATATTATAAACAAAAAATTAAATACATAAAACAGAAAATACATGTGATAAAACAAAAGTACTCCAGAAAGAATTTTTATGCTATTATAGGAAAGTGCTGATTTGTTTATCTGACACATATTTACTAAACACTCATTTCCGCAAAAAGTAAATGCATGGAATTTATATATGCATTGTAAAGGAGATGAAATAAAAAATTGTGTAACCTACTTCTCAGCTTAAAACTGAGTAGGTGAGACATTGGTAGAACTTATTAACTGAGAAATATTAAAGATACAAATGAAAAATGATTGAGTCAAAATTTTGAATTAAATGCAGTGATAAATTAAAAATAATAACATAATAAATATTTTAAAATAAAACAGCAATAAACCTCTATGTAATGGTATAACGTCTTTTATTTCTTCACTGGAGGCCTGGTGCACGAATTTGTGCACCAGTGGGGTCACTCAGCCTGGCCTGAGGGATTGGGCTGAAACCAGCTCTCCAATATCCCCCAAGGGGTCCTAGATTGTGAGAGGGTGCAGGCCAGGCCGAGAGACCCCACCAGTGCATGATCGGGGCCAGGAAGAGACACGGGAGGTTGGCCATCTGGAGAAGGACTGCAGGAGGGCTCCAGGGAGTGTCCAGCCTATCTTGTTCAGTCCCAATTGGCCGGAACGTCTGCTCCCTGGTCGTCAGTGCACATCATAATGAGCAATTGAGCGGCCTTAGCATATCATTAGCATATTACACTTTGATTGGTTGAATGGACGACTGGACACTTAGCATATTAGGCTTTTATTATATAGGATAGGATTCATTCATTCATTCATGCATGCATGCATGCAGGAAATACTGTTTGAGCAAGTACTATGTAAGGCCCAGTGATATGGGCCAATAAAAAAATTAACACAAAAGTAGAGGTTGTAATGACTATGTGAAATTTTGGATAGCTCAATGTATTAAATCAGCATTCATTCAACAGATATTATTGGATTTCTGTCATAAGCTACAGTCCATTTTGAGCTGACAGATTTAGTCTCCGAAAATACTCATTAGATTTACTTTGTTTTGTTGCCACAATCTCTAGACTCTTTGAACTATCTTTAAATTCATGCTGTGGGACTTACGGAAAATTAAGTGAAAGCGAGTAGAAAGCCAAAACTTGTTTGGATAACAGTTAATTCCAAGTGTGTGGCCTTATCACATTGTTACACTTGGGATTATTTAACCATTCTACCATAACCATTCAAGGACTCAAAAGAAGGCAAGCAGTAGATTTAAGTCAAAATGACACTGATTTTCTTTGATACATGACTTAGGAAACTACATACACACACACACACATTCAGTATATATATATATATTTTTTTTTTTCAGAGATGAAGGGAGAGGGAAAGCTAGAAACATTAATGATGAGAGAGAATCATTGATCAGCTGCCTCTTGCACAGCCCCTATTGGGGATTGAGCCCACAAGCTGGGCATGTGCCCTGACCAGAAAGAACTGTGACCTTCTGGTTCATAGATCAGTGTCCAAAACCTTATTAATGTTAATTTCCAGGAAACACTAATTGAGTGAGTATTCTTAGGGCCCAGGGATATAATGGTGAAGCCTACTTACAGTGTAGAGAGGAGGCTTACAGTGCTATGAAAACTTTTAACTAGGAAAGTGAAGAAAGCTAAGTTTGAGACACATCTGAAAATGAATAAAAGTTGGGAAAAGCCATATCAAACCTTATTAATATTATTCCCCAATGCTTCCATGTGTACTGGTTTAATTAGTTATTTGTAACTATTCAGCATGCTATTTTTATTTGAGAAAGCCAAAGTGTACGTCTTACATTTTTTGGTATTTTACCAAAAGAAGTGTTGTAGTCTTTTGTTTCTAATCAGCTTATTCATCTTAGTCTTTTTCAGAAATTATTTTTCCTTTCATTTTTTTTCCCTTAAGCCTGCTTATCCTTGATTTTGTTTTAGGGGATCTACTCAGGCAACTTATACATACCTTGAATCCCCTTCTCATTTTTGTGTGTTTATTCTGTTCTGTTTGACTTCCTTGTTATTATGAAATATGTATAGCAACAAAACCTGATTTATATGTATTTTTCATCTATATGTGTGATTGATTCTTAAGTTGCACAGTGATAACTCAGGAACAATTCTAGCTGTAATAAATGTTTTAAAAACAGAAGTAATATGTACTCTGGATAGGAACCCAAAAATATGTATTATGAATGTGTGCTTTATAATAACACCTCCATATGGGGTTCAGTATATATTCTTTGAGATTTAAAAAATATATTCTATATATATATATATATATATATATATATGTTTTATTTTACAAAAACTGAGTCATACACAATATATATATTGGTTAATCCTCACCCAAGGGTATTTTTTGCATTGATTTCTTTTTAGAGAGAGTGTAAGGGGGAGAGAGAGAGATAGATACAAAGACAGAAAAACATCAGTGTGAGAGACACCTCGATAGGTTGCCTTCCCCACTCACCTCGACTGGACCTGGGGTGGAATCTGCAATCCAGGTATGTGCCCTTGACCAGGAATTGAACCCACAACCTTTTGGTGTGTGGGTCTGACACTCTAACCAGTGAGGCACTGGCCAGGGCCATACTTCTTATTTTTTAATTGACATTTTATGTGATATTTAAGACATGCACTGACAATAAAATGATCTTTGTAGAAATTTATTATTTTTTATTGCTTCTTTTTGAATTCACATAAGAGATCATTAGTAACAATCTTAGCTCCCAAGAGAAGTCTTACTTAAAAGTTAGTCTGAACTCTCTGAGTCATGTTATTGTTAAAGAATGCAGAAAAACCCATTTGTATGTGAATCCAACCTCAGGTCATTTGAGCTATAAGAAATTTATACTCCTCTGCACAAGGTCAATTGCAATTTTCAGAATTTTGAGTATATCAAGAAACAAGTCCTCAAGAGTTTTAATGTCTGTACTATTCTTGGCCTCTTAGTTGCTTAATAAGCACACAGTTTTAACATCATTTTTAAATTCATTACTTTATTTTTATCTTTAAGGAAGTGAATTAATTGGTTTGCACTGTGTTCAGACTCAGAACTTCACTAATTCCGTGATTGCTTTAAAAAATAATTGCTACGGATCAGTTTCTTATTTCAGCCCATGAAGGAAGTACTGTTGCTTGCATTACTCACTGTATTGGCACATCACAATTACTATGTCAATGGCAGAAAACTGCCTTTAAATTGAAAACTAGATACGCTCTTAAAAGGAAACTGAAAAGTCCCATTATTTTATTCACTATTTTTCTAGTTATAAGAGGTATATTAGAAGTTTATATAAGGCATTATGATGCTAGTGTCTGATTTGAAATTTCATTCTGTGTGAACTTCATGACATTGCTTTCTATTAAACATTGTACTTGATATTGAACTTTCTAGTATTCATTTCTAAGTTGTCTTGTTGCTTTAACTTTAGAGCCATTTTCTATGCACTGCATTTCATTCAGTCACACATGTTTATTTATCCAGGCAATAATGTCAGGCACTGTTCTAGACCACGGGGATACTGTGATGAATAAAATAAATGTAAAGATTTATAACCCCATGAGCTCTATTTTTAGAGGAGGAGGGGATAGATAATTAAACAGAATAAGTAAGCAAAATATATATGATTTTAGGTAGTGATAAATTCTAAGCAGGAAAATTCAGTGAGAAAAAGGAGGTAAGAAATGTAGTTGGGATGAGAAAATGGATATTGAATATTGTGTAGGGTGGCCAGAGTAGGCCTCACTGAAAAGGTAACATTTGATGAGAGACTGACATTAAGTACGGAAGCCATTACCCATATGTCCATCTGAGGAACTGGTTCAAGCAGCAAATGTATATGTTCTGAGAAAGGAATGTATATAGTACATTTATAAAACAAGAAGGAAATGAGTGTGGCTATGGTGGAATGGGGTAGTGTTAATAGATGAGGTAAGAGAGATGATAGAGCACAGAATAATATATAGAGTGCATAGACTGGGGTAAAGACTTTGGCTTTTATTCTAAGGAGTTAAGAATTTTGAATAAAGTAATGTAATGATACAACAGGATCCCCTGGCCTCTGTGTTAAGAGTAGACTGAAGGAAGACAAAGGGAGAAACAATATACATATGTATATTTAACTTTATAGAGGAATAATTGACAAATATAATCATGTGTTTAGAGGGTACAGTGTAATGATTTATTATACATTGTAGAATGAATACCAAGATCAAGGTAATTCACATACATTACATCACATAGTTTACTGTTAACCATTGTTAAGTGTGTACTTCAGTAGTATTAAGTGTATTAACATTGTACAACAATAGTTTTTCATAAATGTAACTTAATTTATTAGTGAATGTAGTCATGCTGAAACAATGACTTTACATTTATTCTACTTTATTGCTTTTTCCCCAGAGTTTGTATCGATTTGAAGGCACTGGTTTTTCGAACATTCCTCAACTTATAGATCATCACTTTACAACCAAACAGGTCATCACGAAGAAATCAGGTGTTGTTCTGCTGAATCCTATTGTTAAGGTAGGTATATATATATATATGCACATTTGTTTTCTTTTTATAAAGAATGCTTTGTCGGTTAAAATTTTTCACAGTAAATAAAGTTCTTAGATTTTTTTATAGAAGTTTGGATACAAAAGGGTTTTGTGGTTACTACTCGTGCAAATACAGTTGAAGCAATTTCCTTGGTTTTGTTTCAAATGGTTTCCTCTTTATTCAATGTTTGCTAGGTTACAAATGGCGTAGCTCCCCTTCTCCACCTCACCCCCAGCTTTTCTTGAAAGACTTAAGATTTTTCTTCACTTTATAAGGTTCAATCTTTCAAAGGTTTAGTTTATATAAGATTCTAAGATGTCAAAGAAATTTCTAGAAATCATGAGCAAATTAGAATTGTAATTCTGGTTGTTACATTTACAATATATTATAAGAGATTGGAAAATTTAAAAACTGTTTTGCTCCTCTTAAAGGCAGTAAGTGAGAACTTCCCTTAACTGCGGTTCTCAACCTGTGGGTCGCGACCATTGGAAAACACATATAGCATATCAGATATTTACATTACGATTCATAACAGTAGCAAAATTACAGTTATGAAGTAGCAACGAAAATAATTTTATGGTTGGAGGTCACCACAACATGAGGAACTGTATTAAAGGGTCGCGGCATTAGGAAGGTTGAGAACCACTGCCTTACAAGTACAGTGAAATTAGACAGCCAATGGGTGTGGGCTCCCTGTCACTTCTTGAGCCAATTTGGCAGAGACAGGGTTGAATAATATACTAGTATGAGTGTTATTCCAATATGTCGGCAGTATGGGAGAGCAGTAGGTCATCCACAAAAATCTGCTCAGTACCCGCCACATAAGCCAGCTGCCTATATGGGGTAGAAGGACGAAGGTTGCATGGGGAAGTAGGCAAAAGAATAAGATTGGGTATGCAGGCATGGGGAAGTAGGCAAAGGAATAAGAATGGTTAAAAATTACAGGCAATGTGGACTCGGAGTTTGCAAAGGGCAGGGAGCATCCAGGACTCGATTGTTCCCTTTCAGCCACAAGGTTTTTCATCTTCCCATGATAATAGACAGCTCCTGGATGGGAAGGATAGGACGCATTTCAAGGTGAGCTCCCAGGTCCCAGACTCTCAACGGACTGGGATAGTGCTCTAGAGAATGGCGGTTTTTCATCTATTTTTATACATTGCAATTAAAGAAGGAGAGTAGGTGGGTTACATGAAATCCATTGGTGATAGATTAGAGAGGTGGGAGAAAGCAAAGTGGTGGGGTGGGGGGAAACCTCTGGGATTGGATAAAGAATAAAATGATAGACACATACTTCTTTTACTCAGGTGGATACAGGCTAGTGAATAGTCAACAATAACATGATAACAATAACAACGAAGGAATTTATGGTCTCTGTCCGGGCACCTAGGTGCATTTGGTTGTGCCCCAAGGAGTCTGGAAAAAAAGGGAAAGTACAGTTCCTCATGTTGTGGTGACATTTCAAGGATATGTTATCATAGATACAAAAAGACAGATAGGCTCAGTTAAGGTAAAGGTTGACCTTTATAGGGAAGACACCAGCCTAGGAGGAGACTACCCACCATAACTGCTTTAGTTAAAGTTTAATTTCAGACCATCCTTTGTGGTTACTTTAGGTCTTTGAGTTTGCAAGACTACCATGCAGGCCTTCCCTGAGCCTGTCAGGTTAGCATGTGGCCCCTTTCGTCCACGCTAGGGAACGCATAAAAACTGGTAGGTTAATATTTGCTGATTTGATTTTTATATATGTAGGCATAACTTTTAATATGAACTAAGTGATATTCCCAAGAATGCTAGTGTATAATCCAAATTGAGCTAAGAAAATTTAAAAGACAATTATTATCCTTTCCTTTGATAGTCTAGAACAGGGATGGGCAACGTCTGGCCTTCGGGCCACATAAGGCAGGCAAAGTGATTTGGTCTGGCCCTGCCAAGGATTAGGGATGATTTAATTAAATGTTTGACCAAATAAAGCAGGCTAGTTTTTAAGTTGATAATTTTCTATGGCTTAAGAATGATGTTACAAATATCCAAATGGCCCTTGGAAGAAAAAAGGTTCCCCATCCCTGGTCTAACACATAATGTCCATATTTGTATTTTATTATTCAGTCTTTACTCACAGGCTAAGCTTAAAAAAAAATTCCTCTCACAGAAGATTTTGATAGTTGCTAATCACTAATTCTGTGGCGAAGGCATTGACCTTCCTGCAAATATTTAGAATTATGAGATTGGCTCATTCTTTGGTAGTATTTTTCCATCCCTACCCTTCCCTCCTCTTTTCCATTTTAATTGCAGAAAACCTGACGAAAATTCTTCTTTAGTCTGGAGCAAGTTGTCACATTTTTTTCTTCAATTAAAAAAAAGCCTATCAGTGTTTTCTCTTCCATCAGCAAATAACACTGTGAATAACACAGCTAAGTCTTGCAGAATTTTAAAAACTCTTTACGTAAGGTGATCTATTCTCATGGCTTTATTTCCTATTATATATCAGTGACTTGCAGATTTATATTTCTAATTTGGATTTATTTATCTCCCAAAACTAGTATATTTCAACTTTTCACCTAAAACTGAGTTTATCACCTTTAACTCCAAAATTTGTTCTTCCTTTCTCAGTAAATGGTACCACCAAATACTCAAACCATAAACTTAGGGGACAACTTTGACATATTCTCTCCAGAACTTTAGTGACAGGAGTTTTGTATACTTAATTGGACATGTGAAAGTATGAACTTCAATTCCAGTATATCTTAGTATGAAATAAAATTCAGTGTAAGGAAGATACTTTTTACCCATGTTAGGTTAACGACATATACAACTGGGTTTTCAGATATACTGATACTTCCTTTCACAAGCCAGCCAAATATTTGCATTGTCTATTTGTTTACCCAGGTCTAATTTGAGAGACCAAGGCTATAAAAGAGGCACATAAAAATGCAGATCTGGTTTCAAGTGGGAATATGTAATTTCAAATAAAGTTACATCTCTCACTATGTGAAATTTTTAATGACAGAAGTCTAGGTAAATGGAGTAGATTCTCTGAACTGTTCCAGGGCCGGCTATTCTCTTCCTCCCAAACCCCCAGCACTAGCTGTGGAGCTGATCATCTTATGCTTTTATAGCACTACCTGTGAAAATGACTGTAAACTGAAAGCTATAGAAGATTAAGGGGCTATATACGATTGTTTTATGAGGTGGAAATTTAAAGTTTATATAGCTATTAACCTGATTTAAAGTACTGATATTTGAAATACGCAAATCATTATCTCTGTTGTAAATATTGTTATGCACTTGATTTAAAGAATCATGTTGCACTTTTACAAGAAAACCACAAAGCAGAGGTTGTGAAAGTTAGATAATTTTCAATTACGAGCAAAGAACAAAGTGATATGGATTTTGTTATGGTCGTATTATCTGTTAGGTATCTTCCTTTGAGAAGACATTTGTACTCGTATAATTGGAATCTATTTCTTGATTTAATTTGTGTAAGAAGTTAATGTCTTTGACCATATAATGTGCTATAAAACATCTAATTTCCATCTTGCCAGACTTCATTTTTAGCCTACATAAAGAATGCTATTTTTGTCTCATTATAATTTCTGTTTATAGCAACTTCTAAGACTTCCCATTTCTTTCTTATCCATAGAAATATAAAATTATAATCATAATGCCGAACTGGAGGATACAATGACCAAAGTAGTCTTTCTTATCTTCAGAAGTATAGGCAACTTGACAATCTAGAGAGAGAGAAATAATTTAACTTTCTCATGGTAATAAAGCCAATGGCACCCAAGACTCTAACCCTAACCCTCCACTGGCTGATTTCTCCTATACTGCCTCCCAAAGTACGTAAAGATATGGAAGATGAAAGGCATAGTTATAAACAGGGGTGATTATTATCATCCTTATATTAGCAACATGTTGCATCTGCACATGGCCTGTTCTTAGTTCAGTTTCTGTTCAAATGTCACTTTATCAAGAGACCTTTTTCTGACTACCATGTGTGAAATAACACTTCACCTCCTTACTTTCTCCTCTTCCCCTTTTTAATTTATCTCTGTTACAACTACATTTACCGCACATAATATTATATGATGTATTTTTAGTTGTCTCTCCCCCAAGTGAAATGTAAGTTTCATAAAGGCCTGAATTACATTTAACAATTAGTGCAGCTGTATCCCAGTATCTAGAACAGTGCTGACCCATAGTAGGTGTTCAGTAAATATTTGTTCAAGAATTGGATTCATTGAGCAATTGCTAGGAGCCTGGATACTTGCCAAACTTTTATGTATGTTATCTAATTAACCATTTTACTAGTATATACTAGAGGCCTGGTGCACAAAATTCTTGCACTCAGGGGGTGTGTGTCCCCCAGCCTGGCCTGTTCCCTGTCACAGTGCGGGAGCCCCACAGTCCATTGCCCCAAAGAGGTAGGCCCCGCCCACCCATCCGGGGCTCCTTGATGGATTGTCCCAAAGAGGTAGGCTGGAGCCGGGGGCCCTGCCTCAGCGCCAAGCTGCGGGACCCCCAGGCCTCACTGTGCAGAGGCCTCTGCCGGGCCCTGCCCCTGGGCCGGGCCACGTGGAGGCCTCTGGACCCGCTGTGGAAGCCACGCAGAGCGGCCACCGGGGCCCTGTCCCCATGGCGCACGCTCAGAGGTTGCAGCCATCTTGTGATGGCGTAAGGGCATCACACGTGAAAGCGTGACAACTGCTTAGCCTTTTATTATTAAGGGTGGTGTTCCCCCAAAATGTATACACACACTTTGAATAATTATAAAGGCCGTGTTTGTTAAATTTCATTTTCAAAATTGAGCTATCAGCTGTTAAAGTGTGTATACATTTTGGGGGGATACCTTGTATTCCTATGAAATATTGTTATTAATCCCATACAATATTATTAACCCCATACACTATTATGAATGAGGAGGTAAAGCTTAGTGTGATAAATGACTTGCACAAGATAAGGCTCAGAGCTTAGATTTGAGCCCG